CGGGACAGCTTGAGGCTCCTGTCTCAAAAAAAGTTGCAACATCACAGAAAGTTGGATTTATTTTTTTGAGACGGAGTTTCACTATGTCGCCCTCAGTGGAACGCCATGGTCACAGCTCACAGCAACCGGCTATTTTTGTTGTTGTTGTCACTGTTGTTATAGCAGGCCAAGGCAGGACCTGAACCTGCTAGCCTCAGTGTATGTGACCAGCGCCCTATCCTACTGAGCTACAGATGCCACCCAGAAAATTGGACTGTTGATGCTTTACTTGGCCTTAATTTTCCACTAGGAGCCTATTACTGTCCTCCAATTGCTATGCTTTTCTCGCCTTTTATGTTCTAAAACCGCTCATGTTACACATGCTCATAGAACCTCAAATAACAGAAAAAGAAAATATGGAAAATGAAAACGTCCCTTTCTTAATTCTTCTGAATTCCATGAGCACATTGTCAGCCAGGCAGCTCACACCTGTAATCCCTGCACTCTGGGAGGCTGAGACAGGTAAACTGCTTGAGCTCAAGGGTTCAAGACCAGCCTGAGCAAAAGAGAGACCCCATCTCTACTAAAAATAGAAAAACTGAGGCAAGAGGATCGCTTGAGATGGAGTTGCAAGTTGCTGTGAGCTATGACACCCTGGCACTCTGCCCAGGGTTAAGAGCTTGCGACTCTGTCTAAAAAAATATATATATATATTAAAAAAAGAGAGAGAGAGAAAGTTTTGACAATTACCTGGAGTAGTGTCAAAAAATCCTAATGTAGGCTGGTGTGGCAACTGATGCCTGTAATTCTAGCACTCTGGGAGTCTGAGGAGGGTGGATTCCCTGAGCTCACAGGTCCGAGACCAGCCTGAGACAGAGTGAAACCTTGTCTCTAAAAATAGCCAGGCATTGGCTCAGCGCCTGTGGCTCAAGTGGCTAAGGCGCCAGCCCCATACACCTAAGGTGGCGGGTTCAAATCCAGCCCGGATCCACCAAACAACAATGACGGCTGCAACCAAGGTAACAGTCATGGAGATCGAGGTAACGACCATATCCCTCTTCATCTGTGAACTCCACTAAATCTGAAGAGATCAGATGTATCAATGATTCAAACACTAGAAACCACTCTCCCGGACTTGTCTTTTCACCCAAATGTCCTTACACTTCACAAAGTGAATAGACCTCAGATTTCCAGGCTAGTGAATCTGAGCCAGGATAGCACAAAATGAACAATCTGCTCAAGGCCAATTTAGATGGTCAATCTAGCCCAGAAATCAGCAAAGAGAAAACCAGCATGAAAACATGGCTATAAATTTCTCTGAGGCCTTGTGGGCCAATCTGAGCACTGTCATTAACCTATACTTCTAGCACTGAAGAGAAAGGTTAAACCCTACTTACTCTGTGCCTCTTCACTTGGATTCTCTCGAGCCTTCAGGAGCTCCTCAAATTCCACAGACATTGGCACACAAATCTGAGGGAAAAAGAAATACTCAGGGGATTTTTCATTGTAAAAGTTGCAACATCAGGCGGCACCTGTGGCTCACTGAGTAGGACGCTGGCCCCATATACCGAGGGTGGTAGGTTTGAACCTGGCCCCAGCCAAACTGCAACAAAAAAATAGCCGGGCGTTATGGTGGGCACCTAAAGTCCCAGCTACTTAGGAGGCTGAGGCAAGAGAATTGCCTAAGCCCAAGAGCT